CCCCCCCCTGCGATCCCTTTAGTTTCGAAATATTTATGCTTCAGAATTGTGTTGTGGTGTATTCTAGAATTTGAATACAATCGATCAATTTTCTATTATCAATCCATTAACTATTTGCTATGTTGAGACAATTGACTATTACAAACAAACTCATGGCTATCTAAAATATTTTACGCAGTTAAGGTTAAAGACTATTTTGTTATCTTTATGTATTTGAACAAACTTTAGACCACGTTTTCAGCGAACAAAAATATTAATCCGAATTTCTATTCGATATTTTTTTGTTTTTTCTTGGTAAACATTTTTCAAATGAAAGAGGGGTAGCATAAAGCCCCCATCCCTCCCTCAATCCTCTTCATTCTGGCATTTAAAACTGTGAATAGATGAGTTGCTTGACAAGCTTAACGCTTTTTTCTCGACTTCATGCCAGAGTTGCATTAAATAGATATTAATCGAATCCCGATGATGTTTAATTAGTGCCACATCGTGTCCTGTTAATCTTGGTAATTTTAAAAGACTTTTATGCATAATTTTTTAGAATTTGAGAAACCTAATTGTAATCCTTACGAAATATGGAAATGAAGTCTGCAAATACTCATGCCAAAAATCCCCAATTTCATTTTCTACAAGCGACATCCCAAAATGGTGTTTTCTCAATCAGCCGAAATTAAACGCGAGTGATTCAAGTCAGAAGCCAGAAAATGTGTTCTCTTGATTTAGAAAAATTGTTGAATTATTTAAAAATTTCAAAAAATAGATTGTTTTTGCAAAAACAGAGAATCCATACAAAATATGTTTGTTCCATCTGAAAGTACGCAGAATCTTTTTTTGCTGAGAAAATAATCTAGACGTTCTAAATGATTTTTTCTTCACTTTACTCGTATTTTTTGCTTGGATTCTGTTTTTGAAGCACTTGAATTGCATAGGGTTCGTTTAGGACTTTTGATGATGATTTGATTTGATTACGAAACATTGTAAAATGAAAAGCAACGAATGAAAAGAAATCCATAACATAGAGACAAATTTCCAACTAGTTAACGAAAGAAGCAAAGTAAGAAATATAACAAAAAATACTAACTTGAAATATTGACAAAATAGAAGGTTTGAGAGAGGATATGAGATAAATATGAAATAAGATATTTTGTTTGAAAAATAAGATATTTTTCAGAAAAGCTGCGTGTAGAAGTACAATGGAGGATATGGACCTGAGTAGTGAGGAGTTGAGGGATCTAGGTGAGGAGTTATTGGAGTCCTCTATCCACTCCCCGGTCTCACCCATCATCATGTCTCCGATAGCGGAGAAGGTGTATGTACCCATCATAGAACCTGAACTCGATCCAGTTGAACCAAGTCCAAAATACTTAAAAGAAAAGTAAGTTTTTTTCTAGGGGCAGCACTTCAAACTTCAAATGTACAATGTAGATTTTAGGAAATAGATTTTTTTTTAAACAGCATAAAATTTTCTGACTCTTATTTCAAAATCTTTCTATCATCGTTGAGATAACGTTTATTTATCAAAAGTTAACTTCTCAAATTAAATTATCTATATGTATACTTTGCTTGTCTGTTTGTTTGTTTGTTTGTTTGTTTGTTTGTTTGTCTGTCTGTCTGTTTGTGTTTAATAAACGTCTAAACCACGGAACCGATCGGATTCAACTTTTTGTGGGACCTTTATGGATGATCGAATTTTTATCTAACAAAATTCGATTTTCGAAAATTTAGAAAATAAATTTTTATTAAATCTGCGAAATTCTGTTGTTGTTTGTTTACAATGTATATAAGGAGAACATGTTTACAATTGAAATAGAAGATGGGCGCAGCCTTGTTCTGTAAACTAAATTTTTGTTTTGCTGCATGTTATGGACTACTGCATTTAATTCTTTCTAACTTTTTATCAAATTACAATAATTGGTGTTGGATTTTAAATTTAATGCAATTCTAAGAATTCCCCTCCCTTCTTCCTTATCAGTGTGTTATCAAATGTGTGGACAAAAGAACGTATATTTTTATAATGCCTGACTTATGTGAATTATGTTGACAGATTTTAGGGAAAACTTTTAATCTTTCAAAGATAGAAAATATTATTTCAAACAAATTATGGCTAAGATAATTTGAGAAATCTCTGATTCCTTGAATTTATTCTAATTGTTCACTATTCCAGATTATCTCTTTCGAAAATTCCTGATTGTAATACAATGTTACGAGCCTTGAATAATTCTGCGAAGAATGAATTAATTACCCCTTCCTCCCAACCTTCCCTCTTGGAATTAATTAAATAAATGGAGGGGAGGGGGATTCAGTTTAAATTAAAAAATTTTATTCAATGAATGAAAAAGAATCAAGGATATTTAAAAAATTTATTTAAAAAGCTTGGGCTTCTTAAAATTGGACTTAAATCCCCTCTTATAGAAAAATTCTGAAAACCTCTGATCGGTTTTATTTGTCCTCATCGGGATACAATGACGTCATCAATAAATATCTGATTTTCCCGGATTTTCAATCTTGGAATATTTGACGACATATTTTTTACCAAACTTGGGGGCGCAACGGATATATACTTTTTAAATTAACCTGGGGGGGNATTAAAAATTTTGGTAACAGACGGCAACTTTTTATTCTTCTTGACACTTTTTACCAAAACATTTTTTTATTTTCCCCCAAAAAAATTTGTTATTTCCCCCAATTTAGCGAGAGAAAGAACTAAATAATTTTGCCGCTCCGCGTAAACATGAACTTGCTGGAGGGGAAATGATTTTCAAAATAGATGTTTTAAGAAAATATACACCCCTGGATAGCGCTTAAATATAATAACTTAACTATATCTACTCCACAAACTTGTAAATACCTTAAATCGAAGAAAGTTGTTCATTCTTCTAATCCTTAACAGTCAAAGGGAAAAGAATTCTCTCAGCGTTTAAGATAAAAATGTCCTTACTGAAATGTAAAGGTAAGGGAACGGATTCGGATTGATATTGTCACCATAATTCAGGCATTGCCGAATTAAGTGAATAATTTACGTTTTCTTGAAATTAAATCTTTGAATCGGCTGACTCGGAAAGTTAGTGTAGGGGAGTATATTCTTACAAGAAGTTGAATTGCTCCCCTCCCGGCTCCCCCGGTCCTGGCATTATTGTCCTAAATTTCTTTTCTGGAGGGGAACATTTTTTTCGGCCGCAAACTAACTATTTATTTGCCACTAAATCACATATTTACCATATTTTAAGTCATTTTGCATCACTTACCTTGATTGTTATCTTTAATTTACAGTCATTTAGTCATTTAGTCATTTTTGCCACATTTCTAACCCCTTACCAAGGGCCAGGGGGTGTATATTAGTTCCGTGATTCTTTTTTTCCCTCCTATTTTCATCATTTTTTTCGCCCAAGTTACAGCCAAAACATCAGGTTTTTTAACAGGGTGACGGAGCCCGCGCAAACTATAAAGAAATTTGCTGCGGCCGAGAAGGGCTCCCTTGTGGAGAAAATGTTTTTATTTTGGTTGTACAATGGAGTGTTTGGTGAACTAAAAATGTCAAAACCAGGTCCCTCCCCCCCCCCCCTAAGAGGATTGCTTTTTAAATGGGGGCAAATTATAAGTCCAGTGATATTATTATGTTTCTTCTTTTTTTAATATAGTTTTTCTTCCCTTTTTTCCCTCTTTTTTCTTTCTTTTGTGTAAGAATATACTCCCCTGAGTTTTTCGTGGTCGTATTTTGTATTTTGTAGTTATAAATTTTTCCAACCAATCCTTATAATTGGATAAAAATAACCAGAAATTCATTCCCAAATTATACTTATCATGGTAATATCAAACTTGTATTTTAGTAAATAAGTAAAGAAACTGATCAATTGTCTCAAACTCTAATTTACTATCTATATATGTTAGCAACTTGATGGTGATATTTTACTATGTCATAATTTGATATTTCAAACTTTGAATATCTAGGAAAATTTTTAGCTTGAAATATCGAAAGTATTAGATATCAGGTTGCAAAGACATATAAATTATAATAAAACAAGACATTCGTATAAATGCTCCGTATATAACACCTGGAGCACACATATTTGTTTACAATGTATATAAGGAGAACATGTTTACAATTGAAATAGAAGATGGGCGCAGCCTTGTTCTGTAAACTAAATTTTTGTTTTGCTGCATGTTATGGACTACTGCATTTAATTCTTTCTAACTTTTTATCAAATTACAATAATTGGTGTTGGATTTTAAATTTAATGCAATTCTAAGAATTCCCCTCCCTTCTTCCTTATCAGTGTGTTATCAAATGTGTGGACAAAAGAACNAGTTTCCTTGACGCTACTGACTAATTATTTATCAATCTAGGGATTGGACCACGTAGCAGAGAATATATTGAGTTTCCTTGACGCTACTGACTAATTATTTATCAATCTAGGGATTGGACCACGTAGCAGAGAATATATTGAGTTTCCTTGACGCTACTGACTAATTATTTATCAATCTAGGGATTGGACCACGTAGCAGAGAATATATTGAGTTTCCTTGACGCTACTGACTAATTATTTATCAATCTAGGGATTGGACCACGTAGCAGAGAATATATTGAGTTTCCTTGACGCTACTGACTAATTATTTATCAATCTAGGGATTGGACCACGTAGCAGAGAATATATTGAGTTTCCTTGACGCTACTGACTAATTATTTATCAATCTAGGGATTGGACCACGTAGCAGAGAATATATTGAGTTTCCTTGACGCTACTGACTAATTATTTATCTATCTAGGGATTGGACCACGTAGCAGAGAATATATTGAGTTTTCTTGACGCTAGATCTCTGTGCGCTGCTGAACTTGTGAGTAAGGAATGGAATAGGGTCATCTCAGAAGGTAAGAGAGAATGATGTAACAAAGACCGTAAATAAAGTTTTTTTTTTTTCAAAAAAAGCAATTATTTTGCATAATATTTATCTAATGAGGGAGGGGGTACGCGCCCGTGTACCCTCTATACCCCCCGTTTTGTTCCTGCATGTAACAGAGCTTTATTTATGAAAGAAACTTTTTTATTGTAATTACTGCAGGTTTGTCTGATTAAAAAAATTGGTTTATTATTTACATCGTCATGATTTAGCATTTTCACTTAATGATTGGTGAAATTAGTAACTGCAAAAGTCTGATTTAATTTGATTTTGGTTTTAGACTTTTATTATTAGCCTTTATGAAAATAGAACATAATTATTTAGAAATATTATTAGCCTTTATTAAAGTTTTTGTTCCGTCAATTATTAGCAATTAGCATACAATGATACCATTTAAGAAACAAGTATTTAAATGGAGTGCTTTTAATCGATCTTTTTTACCATTTTCAATTATTCTTTATTCCATTTTTTTTATAAATTCTCCCTTTAAAACTTTTTAGTTGTTTCTTTACTAAAATTTGTTTGTATTAGGTATGCTCTGGAAGAAATTAATCGAAAGAAAAGTGAATACAGACAGCTTATGGAAAGGACTTTCAGAACGTAGAGGGTAGGTTTCTAAAGTTAAAATTTGAAGTTAAAATTTAAACAGTCAAATTTTGTAAATAGAATTTGTTGAAAGAAAGGTTAAATAGCATATCCCTCCCTTTCTCTCCATTTTGTTTAGCATATATTTGAGGGTAATTGATCTATTGATTGATTTGATATATTTGTAGTTGGATCCAGTACCTGTTTAAACCTAAACCAGGAGAATCCCATCCTAACTACTCCTTCTATAGACAGCTCTACCCTTCAATCATCAAGGATATAGAGGTAACAGTTCAACAGGGGTAGTTCTTTTCTTCAATAATAATTCCCTTTACCCCCTGGCCCCCACTTTCCCCTAAACTAAAATCTTTCTTTTTTTAATATTAGGATTTCTGTTAAAATTGATTGGAGCTGTCTTGGGCAGACCGCCTGATTTTAGAGAGTCTCCAGAAATGGAGCTGTCTTGGGCAGACCGCCTGGTTTTTAGAGAGTCTCCAGAAATGGAACTGTCTTAGGCAGACCGCCTATTTTTCAGAGAGTCTCCAGAAATGGAACTGTCTTNCTCTCCCCTAAACTAAAATCTTTTTTTTTAATATTAGGATTTCTGTTAAAATTGATTATTTTATACGTAAAATGAAAGATTTTCCGGTTTTAAGCAAATGAGAAAAGAACCCTAAAACAACTTTTCCACCGAAACCCCGTCAAAGGTTCTGCGGATTAATTTTCCGATATCCCGTGATAGCGATATCCTGCTCAATAACTTTAATGAGTGATCAGGCAATAAACTAATTGTAACTAAATGGATATCGAGATCAAATGTTCAAGATTATGAATATCAACACAAAAATTCCGATCTCTGGTCTAACGAATGCCATGTTTTTTAAAATTTAATTTTCAGAAATTATGATAGCACATTATCTTAATTTTCTTACGAAAATATATTTTTACATTTTTTTAGACGATTGAGGACAATTGGAGATGCGGTAAACACAATCTTCAAAGAATAAACTGTAGAAGTGAGAACAGTAAGGGAGTCTACTGTTTACAGGTACATATCAGTTCAGGAATCTACTCTTTCAAGCGTAATTCTTTTGTTTGTTATTTTCTTTAGTTTTAGTTTAAGGCCATGGGGTGATACAATACTTCTTAAAAACACTTTGCTTCGTGCTCTAACTTTCCTTAGCAGTCGTCAGTAAAGACGACATAATTCTATGAATTGACTGATTGATTGATTGTTTAGTACGATGATAAGAAGATTGTGAGTGGATTAAGAGACAACACAATTAAAATGTGGGACAGAGAAACACTGCAGCAGCACAACCGTGTATTAACAGGTGCAGTGTAAACTTTTAGACTTTATTTCTGTTTTACGTCACAAGTTCCTACATGCAAACTAGTCAAGTACGTATGACTATTGGAAAAAATATGATTTCTTGAATAAAAAAAATAATATCTTTGAATGTTTTAGGTCATACCGGATCCGTCCTTTGCTTGCAGTACGATGACAAGGTATTTTCAAAATTATTTTGATGAAGATTTTTTTTCGTTTGTTTCATCTCTCTTTGTTTCCATATTTGTTATTTTTAAATTAAGATAGTTGCCTCACTGAATATTAGCGAGGGTGTATATTTTGAGAATTAAATCTCTCTTGTAATAATAAGATTCAGCGAAAAATTCGGAAATTGTGGAGTATAAAAATATATAAGCTGGTGGACAGAGCTTAAGCAAATATACACCCAATACCCCTATTCATGTTGATGTATTTAAGGTGATAATATCTGGGTCTAGTGACAGTACAGTCCGTGTTTGGGACGTAGAGTCAGGAGAGATGGTCAACACACTCATACACCACTGTGAGGCAGTCCTCCATCTTAGGTATTTAATAGTCACATCGTGTGGGTTGAAAAAAAAGTTTTGTTCTCTATAGAACTGTTAGAAATGGTTGATTTCAAGCATGATTTTACAGGGCAGAAAATTGAGTTTTGGGGACGTAAATTTTTGTTTATTTTTAACCAAATCTACGAAAATATTTTCCCTTCCCCCAACTCTTATGTGTTGTTATAAAAGCTAGGTATAATCCCTATTGGCTGATCAACTTGTAGGTACTTACAATTCACCATTCACGGGATTTTGTTGTCGATTGAATTATTTGAAATGGTTTATTTCATACATGAATTTACAAGAAAGGAAAATGAATTTTTGGGATTAATTTTGTTTATTTTTTATCCAAATTATTTTCCTCATCTTTCTCCCTGAAATTTTTATTATAAAAATCTAGGTATAATTCCTCTAACCTTCATCTAATCAACTTTCCCGGGGAAAGAGCGGTTGAATTCATTTGTAAGAAAAATGTGTATGATACAAATTCGGAGAAATTAAATCTTGTTAATTATCAATTATTTAGAAATAATATCATTGTTTATTGTTTAATTTCAAATTTGTTAATTGTTGATTATCTACAAGTAATATAATTGTTTATTGTTTAGTTTCAAATTTGTTAATTGTTGATTATCTACAAGTAATATAATTGTTTATTGTTTAATTTCAAATTTGTTAATCGTTGATTATCTACAAGTAATATAATTGTTTATTGTTTAATTTCAAATTTGTTAATCGTTGATTATCTACAAGTAATATAATTGTTTATTGTTTAGTTTCAAATTCCGTTATATGAACGGAATGATGGTAACCTGTAGTAAGGATCGGAGTATAGCGGTCTGGGATATGGTCAGCCCAACAGAAATTAATCTCAGGTAAAAGAACCCTTCAATCTTCACTTCATGTCACCCCCACCCCTCGCACTAGTCAAAATATTAAATTATATTTTAATACATCTTTCTAGTTTGTTTCCAAGAGTTAAACCTATTTGTTTGTCTGCTTGACGAGTAAAATCTATTCATTTGTTCAGACGAGTTAGATTTGTTTGTTTGTTTACACGAGTTAAATCTATATGTTTGTTTACACGAGTTAAATCTATTTGTTTGTTTAGACGAGTTCTGGTTGGGCACAGAGCAGCTGTTAACGTTGTAGATTTTGATGATAAATACATTGTATCTGCTAGCGGGGATAGAACTATTAAGGTAATTAACTAATCTTTGCTTTCTAAAGTGCGTTCTAAATTACTAGCGCATTTTTATTAGTGTCTCATAATTAGGGCGTCCGAATAATTCCTTTAATTGACTGTAAACGTAATTTTAAATGTTCCTTCATGCAATGATGACAACGCCCTAATCACAACGGTATCCTAAAAATGATTTGTCTGATCAAGTATGAGTTAGATATCAATATTCATAATGTTGAAGACTGATTATTTTTAATTGTTGTTTTGAACGTCGAATTTGCGCTCAACCTCAGGATTTACAGATCTTTAAAAAGTTTAATATGTCTCAAATGAATCCGAAAGAAGTTTTCCACAACAGTGCATACTCAGTTCAACTACCTTACATAGACGGTCACTCCCTTTAAACCTAGAAAAACGACAATATTTTCCACATTATTGATCAGATAAATGTATCAAAAGTATCTTTGTAATTCTCTTTAAGTGTTCCTTTTTACCAAGAAAGAATGATTGTAAAAAAGTTATCTATTTTTACATTTGATTGATTGATTGATTAGGTCTGGTCAACACATTCCTGTGAGTTTGTGAGAACATTGAACGGACATAAACGAGGAATTGCTTGCCTTCAGTACCATGATAGGTATACAATATATTCATCTAGTCATGTCTTCAGTACCATGATAGGTATACAATACATTCATTTAGTCATATCGTAGTGCAAATTCATTCCTTTTTTCTTTTATTTATTCATTTATTCATGTAGTCTTACCTTCATTCCTTCATTCTTAAATTCCATCATTCCTTCATTCCTTCATTCCTTCATTCCTTCATTCCTTCAATCCTTCGTTCCTTCGTTCCTTCATTCCTTCATTCCTTCAATCCATCATTCCTTCAATCCTTCATTCCTTCATTCCTTCAATCCTTCAATCCTTCATTCCTTCAATCCTTCAATCCTTCATTCCTTCATTTCTTCATTCCTTCATTCCTTCAATCCTTCGTTCCTTCAATCCTTCATTCATTTCTCCATTGTCATTGAGGATAATACAACAATGAATATTGTATATATCTACTATCAAGGTTGGTAGTATCTGGTAGTTCAGATAACACTATACGTCTGTGGGATATAGAGTGTGGACAGTGTCTCCGTGTGCTGGAGGGTCACGAGGAACTAGTGCGCTGTATCAGGTTAATCAAGTTTTTTATATGGACTGTCAAGGTAATTTTAAGGGACACACAATTTAGAGATCTTCATCGGGTTAACAATAGGGAAGATATCGTCCTTATTATTGGAGAATTTGGAGAATGGAGAATATGCCAATTTTCGGCAGAATTTGGAATAGAAAATGATAAATGTTCAGGCAGAAAATAATACCTCGATATTCTTACCAAAACTACAATTTAAGAAGTAAAACTGTGAATCGTACATTTTTATTTCCAAAAGAGATCAGTTCTGAGTGCGCGATCATTGTCAAATGAACGATTGAATTGAACGATAATTTAGGTTTGACTCGAAGAGAATAGTGTCCGGTGCATACGATGGAAAGATTAAAGTCTGGGATTTACAGGTATTGAACAAAAAAATACAAAAGTAAAAAAATAAGTAAAAAAAAATATCTTGCTGCAGGCTGCTCTGGACCCCCGAACCCCTACCGGCACCTTGTGCACAAGAACCCTCGTAGAGCACTCGGGAAGAGTTTTCAGGTATGCCGCGCATTTTAAGACAACACGGTATGCGCGCAGCAAAAAAAGTTTCGCCATATTGAAAACCTTACAAAAGCCAACGTGTATTTACTTTTGTTATTTCTTGCTTTTTTCATGATTTAATATTTAATGCTTATGTTTACACGATATTATTATTATTATTATACTTTGATTGTTTGTGTAGATTACAGTTTGACGAATTTCAAATTGTCTCGAGCTCACACGACGATACCATCCTTATCTGGGACTTTCTCAACTTCTCAACACCTGAGAGGTAGACATCTGCTGGGGTTTTAGACACAGCTGTGGTAGTTTTAAGACAAAGAAATGGTGTTGATTACTGGTTAGATGTAAGGGTCTCAAAAGAATATTAGACAGAACTTGAGTGTTTCGGGGGAAATTGATCCTTATGATTTATGTTGAAAATGTTTGTACAATTGGACAAGAATGGAAAACAAGATTTTTTACTTAGGGTGTAATACAGAGTTACGATATTCTGGGGCTAACATAATTCTTTAAAAGGTAAATTACGAGGGCCGGATTTTTTTGTCTTCTAAATTAAGTTCAAATATTATTTAGATTATTTTTTTATTTTAATGTTGGTGGTTTTTCCTTTAATTGGGGTAGGAAAATTTGCAAATTTAAACATCATATTTAACGTAAAAGAACGAGGGGGTCTAAATTAAAAAATATATAAACCCCCTCCCCCCATGAATGCACAGTGCGCACATGCCTTTCTGGTGATTTTTTTACACGTGATCTCATTTTTTATCTGCATCCTCTACTTGTCACAAGAATGTAATGCAAGGAAAGTTAATTGCTGTCGTGTATACTCTGCGTACATATTGAAACCAGTTCTCTCTGGGCGGAATTTGTAAACAAGAATTGATGCATCAGTGTTCGTTTAGTATCCGAGGAGGTTAAAAGCATTAAGTTTTTATAATTTTGATAATTGACATAATAGTTTCCTATGACCAGATTATTTCATTGATTTTTTCTATGTGAAAGATGGATCCCATGTCAGTCTTCGACATCCATCTTGTGTTTACATTAGCGCCAGAGACAGTACACTGCAGTACAAAAGATGTGTACACTTCTGAAATAACTTTCCTTGCATTACATCCTTGACTTGTCCCTTCATTTGATCATTTTCTTGACAAATTCAGTTTTAAAAGAGGCATCTCATTATTTTTATTAAAAATTGGTAAATTTTTAGATTTTTTTTGGGATATGGTACTTCAGAATTGCAGAAGTGTAAATATTTTCCAGAACGACTTTTGATCTTTTTAAACTGGGCTTTTACACCATCTTCATGTTACTTGTTATAAATTGCACCATAAAAATACAAAAGTTAATTTTTAACAGCTCGCCTCTCTATTATCGACTAGTGATGTTTTACTGGGTAAATTTTGCGGATTTGTATATTTATTTTAGGTTTATTTCTGAGTAAAAACCATTTTTTTCTGCATGTTTGTTTTATTTCTTGTTTTGATTTAGTTCAGTTTAACCCTAACTCAGACTTACATTTCAGCGGTAAGGGGAGTCCTTCAAGAACCTATACGTATGTCAGCAATTTCTAATACAAGAATCGATGGACCTTCAAGATATCCCAGGGTCCTTCAAGATATCCCAGGGTCCTTCAAGATATCCCAGGGTCCTTCAAGATATCCCAGGGTCCTTCAAATATCCCAGGGACCTTCAAGATATCCCGGGATCTTATAAACGTCCTTATTTTATTTTCATTGGTCGGTCATATTTATAAATAAACCAGGTCTTTTTATCATTATTAGTGGTCAATGGATTTGTATTTTACCAGAAAGTTATACATCCTTGAAAAGTTAAGATTTTTTCATACATAGGAGGCCTTTTGGCCTTTATGCATTCTGACGGAATTATGTAAAATAGATATACTCTCGTGGTTATCTTAACATTCTTTTGTTCAGCTCTTAGATAATTTTAAAGCGGCTTAGTTAGCGGCAGGTTATAGATGAAACATTTCTTAGTCCAAATTTTTTCTCTTCTTGTTCTTGGGATTTTTTTATTCACAAGAAACAATACTGTTGTGACTTTCATAATTGATTAGGAAAAAAGTTTCCCTCCCATTCTCTTATTGTGGATATGATTAAACCAACATTTTCTACCAGCTTTGCTTTGCTTATAACAGATATCTGTAAATTTGATATAGATGTTAAAAGAAACAGGTTTTGTCATTGTAACGTCGTTCAGTGTACAACTGTAGTACAATGTCTCTGTTGTACAAATTGTCCTATGTACATGATTCTGTTTTTCTACCTTTCCCGAAATAGTTTTATTCACAATTCTCAAAATTGACATAAAAAGGTTAAATTCTAACTACCCAATCAATCCTGTCCTGTACAGTGTACATGTTTGATGTTATTTTTGTTCTAAACTGTAATGAAATTAGTTCTAATTATTTAAAGGGACTGTAGACGTAATTCAAATTACAATTCATAGTGTCATGTCCTTCTGACAACGTTACCTATTAAACCGGAAGATATCATGATTTTTCTGACTGAAAATTTTCATTTTTCTGAATGATGTATTTTTAGATAGAAAAAGAGTGATATGTTTAAATGTTTTACTAGACGACGGTTTAAGGGGTACTGTTATGAATCTGAGATATCCTTCTATAAAATGGATTGTCAATGAAAAGTACCGCTACAGTCCCTTTACGCCAGGTCAAGGTCATTCAGAAGAAGTTCGCGCCAATTTATTGTGATTTCACGAAAATTATCTCTGAAAATTGATGCGCACTCTTTATCTAACCCTGAAGTATTCATTCTGTAATGTTCTGCGCGCATTTTATTATAATGTGCGCGTATAAAGTTAGTATCTTGTGCCCTTATGCGCATTTTCAAACCATTATAACTTTTGACGCTGTTTCGTTAAATTGTAAAAATATATATTAACGAAAGAAGTTTTATGTTGATCAGACGTAGAGAGGGAACTGGAAGGGTTAAGAAATTGATAAATTGAAATTAACAGAAGAAAAATCTTTGATTACAGATGAACTTAAAACCCTGGAGTGTATATTTTCTCAAAAAAATCCCCCCCCCCTTTTAAACCATTATTCCGACAAGTGATGTTTGCGCGGAGCGTATTAATTTAAAAGGTATTTAAGGTATGAAGTATCAAACAGAATGAAAAAACTTTCCTTTTTTCTTCCCCTTTAAAGGGAAGGGGGTTCTGGAAATATACACCTTGTTGATAAGTGTGTTGATACCGAATAGAAATTCAAATTGAAGAATTAAAGATTTAAATGGCGGGTTTTTAATCTCCAATCTGAGGTTGAAATTAATCTGAATAGGATGAAGTATTGATCTCGTCCTTATCAATTTAACTTCGATATCCTGTGCTCATTGTACCCAGCGCGCGCGTGAAAGGGAACCCCTGACCGCCATAAGCCTCCGCTATCCAGAAAATGTAAGTTCTAATTCTTGGCAATCAAAAGATAACTCTAATATTAAGTAAAATTTTTAAGTAAAAAAATCTTGATTACTGTTAAAACCAAGAGTTTTTAAGAAGATGTGCTGCATAGGTTCGTTAACTGTATAGCGGAGGCTCTTACTGCAGAATAGCATTTGGAGGCTTATGGCGGCCGGGGGTTCCCTTCCTCACCCAGAAATGAATTTTAAATGAAGGCATAGAGCGTCGATCTTCAATAAGAAGTGCCTGCAGTAGAAATCTAGATCAAGCGTTGAAGTTTACGATATTCCGATCTTTGAAATCTTTTCCCGTTAACTAATGTACTTTTTATAACTTCGGGGAGGTTTATTTTATCTGAGCTTGGTCTTGATCTTTGATAATATTCACACATATCCTACAGTTCAGAGGTTTATTTGATCTGAGCTTGGTCTTGATCTTTGATAATATTCACACATATCCTACAGTTCAGAGGTTTATTTTATCTGAGCTTGATCTTGATCTTTGATAATATGCACACATATCCTACAGTTCAGAGGTTTATTTTAAAGATAATCACTAGTTCTTAGTTTTGTATTTCATTTCATCATGATATATCGCGGGATATTTTCCGTTATGAATTAGAATTGTTTAACTCCTGAACTTTATAAGAGAAATCTTAATTTTTTTTTTAAACTTGAAGTTAATTCAGTAACTATGAATAGTTCAGAACCAGCAAGCATAAAATACTTGAACTGAAAAATACAGAAACGGATATAAAGATTAATGTACTTTTGTACTATCTAAATTCTACACAGTCGTCTCAGAAATCTCATTCTTTCTGGGTAACCCTACCCTGATGTATGATGTAGTAATAATAGTTTGTGTGTCCGTTCATAACTTGTGAAGTTGTGAACCCCTTGACCGATCAGATTAAATATTTTTTGGAAACAAGTAAAACGTGAATATAGTAAGGAGATGAAAGCAAGCCACAACAATTTCTCGTCCAAGCCACATTCTTTCTCGTCCGAGCCACCTTCAAATCCTCGTCCTTCGATTGTGTTAAAGATTCTAATTCTTGAAGATAAAACTATCGTTTTAAATCCGGTCACGTTAGGGCATAAAATATGGATATATCATGATCATTTCATGTTGGACTCTTTAAAGCAGTGCTTAGGATCCATTTAATTTTGATGCGGATGCGGATGCGGATGCGGATGCGGATGCGGATGCGGATCCGGATCCGGATCCGGATCCTGGATCCGCTTTTCAAAAAAATGGATCCAGGTCATTGATCAAAAAAAAATTTTATTTTAGTTCAAATATCTTTTCATACCTAAAAAAAAATTTAAACATTTTAACATTTTTTTATACTATTTTTCTACTAGTTTGCACAAAATGATAATGATTTTTTTTACTTTATTGGATGAAAAAAAAAACAGGTCTAATTCATATTAGCTTTTAGTAGAAGGAGGGCGTTTGGAATATCTGCCTTCAGGCAACTCCTTAGGTCTGATTTGAATATCTTCAGGACAGAGAACAGTCTCTTTATAGTGGGAACACAAGATGTTCCTTAGCATCTGTATCTTTTTAGCATATGTGCGCCCCCTCCCTTTTCCCCCTCACTCTTACACATCCTTACACCTTAATTTGTGAAGACTGAATTTGCTTAGTTGCAATGGGGAAAAGGGAGACTTCTCCCCCCCCTCTCTAGTTATTAAAGGGGGGGGGTGCACGGTGGAGGTCTGAGTTAAGATTTGAGCAAGATAGAAACCTGAGACCCTGAGAATATTTTTAAAATCTGTTAAATAATTCAAAATAAGATATTTTTAAGGAAAAATAACGCTGTTTTGCACATTTTGAAAAATAAAATTGTGCTTGGATCCGGATCCGTGGATCCGCATTTTTTTGCGGATCCGGATCCGGATCCAGAGAGCCAAAATAATCCGGATCCGGATCCTAAGCACTGCTTTAAAGCCATGAAAATTATGTCAAACTTTATTTAGGTAAAACTTAAATCTCTTCTGCCACCGCAATGGCTTACCTTCTCGAAATAAAATAAATAGGAAAATATTTAGCATACCTCCCACTCTCATTTTGCAAATGGAACTAGGGTTTCCAACGTATTAGATTATTCACTTAAGCGAAATTACGTGCAGTAACGGTAAATAATTTTAATTTCGTGTAATTTCGCAAAATTATGCGTAATAGCATAACTTCAATTTCGCAAAATTACAGTGTAATTGCGCGTAATTTCTACGAGGTGATTTTGCGAAATATTGTAATAATTATATGTAATTAGCAAAACTTCAATTACGCCGTAATGTCTACTATTTATACAAAAGCAATTTCGCAAAATGTTGCAATAATCACGCATAATTAGCAAAACTTTGATTTGAAAGGATTAAATTTATCCGGCCAATCAGATTGGACGAATTGGACATGGTTGTAGGCTTTGTAGCGCGCATATCCTTACACAATTTTTCCACTATATTCATTTCTGAGAATTTTATGTACTTTACTAATTATGGAATGGTTTCGTAATTTCGCGTAATTACCCCTTAATTACCCAAAACTAGACTTTATTTTGTATATGTAATTGTAATTATAACACGTAATTTCGCGAACTGCTCCTCCCTAAGCGAAAAAAAGTGTTACGCGTAATTGCGACTAGAAACCCGAAATATGGAACACAAGGAAAAATTGAATGGTTTTCATTGTAATTAACAAAAAAAAATTTAAGTTCGATAAACTTGGAATTATTTTCGGCATTCTACACCAGGAATACCTGAAAATCCACGTAAAAAGGGTGAACATTTTTAAGAACATTGAACTTGAAAACTTTAATTCAATTTAAACTGGTTTTTTATTTACAAAAATTCAATATTTTATTTATGCCCTATAACTTGGCCCGATTCTTAAAAAAATAGTTTTATCTTGGAGGGTTGGACACTTAAAAAAACCCCGTTTTTGAAAGCAGAGGATCTCGAGGTGGTTCGGACGAGAAAATGAGGAGAATGTGGCTCGGACTAGATATTGGTGTGGCTGGCCTTCCTCTCCTCATATAGTTAATCTCGTTGGGTCCGACGACTCTTAAGGTCGTCTTTCATGCATAATTTATATATTTTCGGAAATAAACTTTTAACGGTAATATTGCAGAAAAACTGTGTGTAACGGTAAGGTGGTGTGTGAGGGAAGTTAATCTGTTTAGGAATGTGGTGTGTGAGGGGTGGTGGTGTGTGGAGGAAGGTGGTGTGTGAGGGAAGGTAGTGTGTGAGGGAAGGTGGCGTGTGAGGGAAGGTAATGTGCGAGGGAATGTGGTGTGTGAAGGAAGTAGTGTGTGAGGGAAAATTGTGTGTGATGGAAGGTGGTGTGTTAGGGAAGGTAGTTTGTTAAGGAATGTACGGTGTGTGAGGGAAGGTGGTGTGCACGGGAAGGTAGTGTGTGAGGGAAAGTAGTTTGTTTAGGAATGTGGTGTGTGAGGGAAGGTGGTGTGTGAGGAAAGGTAATGTGTACGGGAAGGTAGTGTGTGAGGGAAGGTAGTGTGTGAGGGAAGGTAGTGTGTGAAGGAAGGTGGTGTGTGAGGGAAGGTAGTTTGTTTAGGAATGTGGTGTGTGAGGGAAGGTGGTGTGTGAGGAAAGGTAATGTGTACGGGAAGGTAGTGTGTGAGGGAAGGTAGTGTGTGAAGGAAGGTGGTGTGTGAGGGAAGGTAGTTTGTTTAGGAATGTGGTGTGTGAGGGAAGGTGGTGTGTGAGGGAAGGTAGTGTGTGAAGGAAGATAGTTTGTGAGGGAAGGTAGTGAGTGATGGAAGGTAGTGTGTGAGGGAAGGTGGTGTGTAAGGGAAGTTAGTCTGTTTAGAAATGGGGTTTGTGAGTGTAAGGTAGTGATTAAAGGAAGTTGGTGTGTGAGGAAAGGTAATGTGTACGGGAAGGTAGTGTGTGAGGGAAGGTAGTGTGTGAAGGAAGGTGGTGTGTGAGGGAAGGTAGTTTGTTTAGGAATGTGGTGTGTGATGGAAGGTGGTGTGTGAGGGAAGGTGGTGTGTGAGGGAAGGTGGTGTGTGAGGGAAGGTAGTGTGTGAAGGAAGGTAGTGTGTGAGGGAAGGTGGTGTGTGCGAGGGAAGGTGGTGTGTGACGGGAAGGTGGTGTGTGAAGGAAGGTAGTTTGTTTAGAAATGTGGTGTGTGAGGAGAGGTAATGTTAGGGAAGGTAGTTTGTGAGGGAAAGTACACATATCACGCGACGCGTGAATCATGTAATTTGCTGTTCTTTAAATTTAATTAAATTTAAAAAGTTATTATTATTATTATTAAGTTATCATTATTATTATTTTATGGATCAGTAACATTTTGCCTAGTACACTTTCACCTGGTACTCATTTGCCTGGTACTTATTCGCCTGTAGTTCACATTCACCTAGTACTCATTCGCCTATACACATTCGCCTGTGTAACATTTTGCCTATATAACAGTTTGTCCTTAATAACGAATACATCGGAAGAATTTATCAAATGTCGTCTT